GTTTTATAAAACTCGAGAAGCCGTTTTATAAAACTCGAAGATCATTTTATAAAACTCGAAGATCATTTTATAAAACTCGAGAAGCCGTTTTATAAAACTCGAAGATCGTTTTATAAAACTCGAGAAGCCGTTTTATAAAACTCGAAGATCGTTTTATAAAACTCAAAGATCGTTTTATAAAACTCGAAGATCGTTTTATAAAACTCGAGAAGCCGTTTTATTAAACTCGAAGATCATTTTATAAAACTCGAAGATCGTTTTATAAAACTCGAGAAGCCGTTTTATAAACCTCGAAGATCGTTTTATAAAACCCGAAGATCGTTTTATAAAACCCGAAGATCGTTTTATAAAACTCGAGAAGCCGTTTTATAAATCTCGAAGATCGTTTTATAAAACTCGAGAATCGTTTTATAAAACTCGAGAAGTCGTTTTATAAAACTCGAGAATCGTTTTACAAAACCGCGAAAAACCGAAACCGCCACAAAACGCGAACTAGTTCAACGGTCCCCGACTAGTTCACCTGCTGGCGAACTAAGCCAGCTTGGCTTAGTTCGCTAGCAGGCGAACTAGAAGCTTCCAACTAGTTCGCCTGCTGGCGAACTAGGAACTCCCCGACTAGTTCGCCAGCAGGCAAAATAGAGATCTCCCGGATCTCCCGCATCCCTGATTCGACACTTACGTCCTTCGACACGGTCACATTCTGAACTACGGCCGAAATGTCTCTCGTTTCGTCTCGATCCGACTTATCGTTTGAATTCTACGATAAAAACCGTAAAACTCCGCTTTCTCGAAAAGAACTCGATGAAATCGTATAAAACGGTAACGGTTAAGCAAGACACCGAACATCGCTAAACTATACGATTTATCCGAGATTTTTCGTTAAGATCATAAAAACGCGTTTTTAATAAAAAACGTCGAGAAAATCGTAAAAAACGGCATCGGATCAGGAAACGGTCTCGTATAAAGTCGTAAAACGGTTTTTATCGTAAAACGGCCCGAAAGGTCCTAAAACACGATAAAAACCCATCTCGCGATATTAACGAAATCAAACCCGAAGATACGATAACGTTTTGGTGGTTTACTCGCAGACATAAGATAAAAGGCAAGTTTGAAGATAAATAGAAGATTTCCGCAGAAGAAAAGGAAGGATCGACAGAAATGGAAAATTCCCGATATATTCGGTTTCGGGCGAAATGGAAAGACTAAAACCGCCTAGGAAGGGAGTATACTTTCTTAGGGCAGAAGCAAAGGGGCGATATTTCAGAGCTCTCATCTGAGACTTTCCCAACTCTTCTAGACTTAGAATTTTCCGCACTTAGAAACTTAGGCTTTTTCTCGACAAGTTCGGTTTCTATGACTGGCGCTCAATCACTAGACGAACTCGCCCAGGCAGTTCGATCTCTTGTCCAGCTCAATCAACTGAACTACATTCGACTTGATCCTCGAAAGGGGTACGTAGGCAGCCTTTCATAAGGTTCAGTCCGAAATCATTCAAATCCTTTTTCTTATGTTTTTCCGTCTTTTGTTATCGAGCTGCGACTCGATTAGGTTTAAGGTTTTTATGTTGATAACTCGCTGACGGCCTTGCGGCCAAAGCCTTTGTAAACCCTTGTAACGATCGCAACGCTTTTACGTGAAATCGAAATAAGATCTACTTTTTCTTTAAATTCGTTTTATTATATTTTTCCTTTTTTTCCGCATTTATTTGGTTACTTGTCGTTGGCTTTCGCAGAGATCCGGTTCCTCTGGAAAATTAGGGTTTTCCTAAATTTCCTTATTTAACGGAAATCGACAAGTGTGAATTTCGGTTCCCACATAAGGCATGTAGAATTGTCGGCTGTAATATCGTCTATGTAATTTCTCATAGTTTGTAATGCATAATTATCGATTGTTAAAAAAGAAAAACTAAGTGAGTGATGCAAACAATCTGTTATAAGGATGAAAAATATGTAGCATAAACAAAATTCAAGATGAATGCACTAATAATAAAAGAAAGAGCTCAGTCTCACGGCACTGACATCTGGGAATGGCAGGGAACTATTCTACCTCTAGACCAACCACTGGTGCTGTTTTTTTTTACATGATTACATACATTTATTTATCATTAGTGGTGTTTCCGCGCTACGCGCGGATTGTTTGATATTTTGTGTTTTTTATGTTGATTTACTATGAAAACTGAATTTTCCGTAATGATTTGCATAGGAATTATTTGGCAATGAAAATTTATCTGTATAACATGAATCAATATATGGTGAGGACTGTTATTGGTGGACATTTTAAAATAGTGAACTATTATATTAAACACCGGACCATTATAGCTCATAGTTCGTGGAAATTAAGAACTTGTGAATTTTAATTTTTTGGACTCGTCATATCTTTTTTTAGTCAAATGACTCATCATATCTATTTTTAGTTAAAAACATCATTTTGTTTTGGTATATTTTAATCCTAAATTGTATTAAACAATTACATAAAGGCAGTATATATATTAAATATTTGGATATTATTATTTTAAGGTTATATACTTATGGAGCGGTCATTAATTTCCCCCCTTTAAATCTCCCCGCGATGTTAGAAGTTAGGCCCGAAAACATGATTGGATAAACAAATGGTAGACTGTTCAGTTTAAGAAACTGTAGAATAGATACATGTCTGAAGTTTGTATTTGTGTATCTGAATATCTTGAAGACCACCTCCTCCAAAGGTCAAACTTTGAGGGATGAATTAATATTTTATAAATAAAAGTTGATTAAGTCGTAAATGAAGAAAGAAACCATATTACAAAATATTAGTAAAAGGAAAAGGTCTTTCATACAGTAAAATTATATAAATTAATAATGCTAGGACTATAATATTGTATTCATTTATAGAATTATTAATTTATAAAAGTTTTCTTTTTAGATTTTTATTTTAATATTTTTAAATAAGAAAATATTAATTTTAATTTTTATGCATTAATTAATTATTTTGAAATGCGAACTTTATATTGGTTCTATTGTCTTATTTTGTGTATATAAAATAAGTTTCCTAAAATTTAAATGTGGCTTTAAATATAAGTTTACTAAATTTCATCAAAAAAATTAAATGTTAAGAAAATATGAAGTAATTTTATTCTGAATATAAAATAAACAATATTAAGTTTGGTTCATGCTTATATAAAATGTGTATACATATAAATTATATTTTTTATGACAAAAAAGTTATTATTTTATCTTTTTGTGTCATATTTTGAACCGGTCCAGCTTGGTACGTGAGAAATTTATTAATTTATGGCGTTTATTCATTTATCTACTATATTTTGTATATTTTGTTTTTGTACAGGCAGTTACAATAACTTCAGTGTCCATCCGCCTGAGATAATTAAGAAAATGCTAAAAGATCTTGCTGAGAAGTAAATTCATTTTTTTTTCTTGCATTTTTCTTTTCCAACTCAACGCTGATATTTAAGATTCTTTTTGTTGTCGGGTCTTGTGCCTTGTAGTTGTAATATTGATAAGTGTTCTTTGCATTTGGTCTAATTTTATGCCCTCTAGGTGTGGAGACTTCAAGCCGCTCTTGGTGAACAAACCGAAACCACCATGTTCAGCCAGCAAGAATATAAATGTCTGCAAAATGTAAATTTTCTACTTTCTCTATGCTCTACTTTGTATCTATCCATTATTAGATTTTCTCTATTGGTGTTTCTTTCCTCTTTGGCTTAATCTTGTTTCAAATATGTCTTTGCACCAGGAGAAAGTGCTGTGTAGGGTTTGCTTTGAAAAAGAAATCAGTTTGGTGTTTCTTCCATGTAGACACCATGTTCTCTGCAGGTATGATCATTATTCGTATTATAATTACCAACTCAAGTTTGCATTTCGCACTCAGCTGGAAGTACTTTATAAAAATAGGAACTTGTGAGGTCGTATCGTTATTATTAGATCTCATAGCTGACTCAGTTGTCATGTTCATATGTTGTTTCTGTGCCATTTTATGTTGCAGAGTCTGTTAAGGTAAGTGCACAAAGTACCCAATATGTCGTGTAGCAATTTACATGACGACGTATGAATGTCTAACTTTGGCCATGTTAGAGCCAGAGAGTAGAATTTGAGTTTGATGCTCCAAACAATCACTCCTTTTTCACTATATACCGTGTTCCTAAACTTTTTATGTTTGTTTTGCTGAATTTTTTTTATTTCTCTCAATCAGTATTTAAGTATAAAAATATAGGTGTATTGTATACTTTTTTTTGTAGAAACCACGTCCATACATTTGTAACAACAAACATCATACAAAGTATGTAAAATGTCTCTCCCTTTCTGTATTCTAGTTTGGGTAAATGACTTCAGTACTCTACTTAAATAGATTACAGACCCATACATGTATCAACTGTGTTCTAAGCCAGTCTCAAGAACAAAAGAAACTACGGACATGCACTTTATAAAAGCCTAGCATTCCATTGTTCGTAGATGAGGTCTAGATGTATCAATTTTCTTCTTCAGCTTCATCCTCTTCTTATGAACCGGCTGAGTCTGTGTTGCTCCATGAGCAGCAACTGCCACATTACATAAGCCAAAAGTTCTTCACGGCGAGAGAAGGTAAAATCCAATGAGCACACTCAAACTCATTGTAGGAAGCATCAACAACACATGTTTCACTCATTGTGAGAAAGATATCGTTCATGTTATAGTGAGGCAAACCCAAGACTCCAAGCCAGTTCGAGCTATCTCCACCAACTACATAACTCATCAATGTTAGGACCAAATCACCAACAGCAGGATAGTTGTAGAGGTCTTGAGCTAACTTGTTGAGAAGCATCCAGAAGAATCTAGTGGGGATGTAGAAAGCGGGAACAATCCTGGATAGTACCGGTCACAAGAGAAGGGATGTGTGCTCTATTAACATAAATCACAGGTTGGAGTCTTCGTGAAACCAGGCAGGAGAAAGCAGGATCAGTTTAAAGATTCTGTGTGGTTTCTCTTCGATTCTATGGGTGATTACATACATCAGAACAGCAGGCCTGCCTAGGCTGTAAGAGAAATGCAGAGCTTATAAGGTTGCTCCTTGTGTGCTACATCTTCCACATTAGACTGGTAGACTCTCAGTTCTGAAGTTTTGATATCGTGAATCTTCTCTATCATTGTGGGGATATCCTCTCTTGCATGGTCATTGATGGAGTAGCTCCAGAAACTGCATCTTGTTCAGAATCCATCAAATAAAGAACTCCACAAGAAATAAAAAAAAGCAGTATTTTGTTTAATGGAAAACTCACTTTTTAGAGGAAATGTTTTTGTTCACATGATCTTTTGAAACAAAACACCGGAAGTTCCCTACGTAAATATCGTACCCTGGCAAGAAGAAACAGAATAAAACATATGGTAAATCTTTACTATATAGTTATCACAAAGAGACTTGAGAAATAAGTTTTGTTTTGGCGCTGACCTCGCTTATAAGCAGTAAAAGCAGGAGATCCAACAACTCCACTTGATACCCATCTGAAGATAAAAGGATCAGATGCGACATAGAGAGTAAATAAGGAAACAAAGAGATGACTGTCAAACTCACCCCGATGAAGAACTTAAAACACCATGCTGCAATAAAACAGATTTCCTAGCATCTCGTTAGGAAAGCCACAAGAAGGAATTTGGCAATTACATCTTAAAGAACTTACTAAACCACAATAAACTATATACCTTTGTATCCTTTCCAAGAGAATACCATACCCATTAGATGTAACAACACGGATACCTTCAAATGGATATCTATCAAGATAAGGTGAGACGTTTAATCAAATGGAAAAATATTATTTTGAATCTCTATTTAAATCCAAGAGACTGTTTAGAATCTCAATCCATATAGAGCAATTACGGATCATCAATCAGTAACATGTGAAACTCATAATTTCACCGCCTTTCTTCACATTCATGGCCTTCTACAACCTCAGCAATTGAACCTCTGCATTCATGGTCTCCCAAAACCTCAGCAATTGAACGTGTTGGAGTAGCGCCCAGTTTCAAATCGACAAGGAGGGTGTAAAGATTCGCCATTGACCTAATCGGTAAGCTGAACAGATTTCCTTGTAGATCTCGTCAGGCCAAGTACGTAATAATGAGAGCTAAAGACATTACATTTAGGTCGACAATGTTCAAGTTCCAGAACTTAGAGCATTTGCATTAGCGGTTTTAGACCGGATTTTGGGCTCGGTATCATAGGCCCGTCTGCATTAATTTAAATGAAAAAGGGTTTATATCGGTGAACCGGTCCTTACGGATGAACCCGTAAGAAGGGAGTTCAAGCCACGCGGCAAGGTCTGATTGGTGAAGAGAATCCGCGTTGTAGAGGGAGAAACACGGGTTTCGGTCATTTCTTGTTCTTTTCTAAAAAAACTATGGTTTCTCTCGACGAAGGCGATATCGAGTGCGAGAGAGGCGATTCCAAAGGCGACGAAGATTCCCGGTGGTTTTCTCCATCCAATCGACGACGGTCTCTATTCTCGACGAGGTGAGTTCTTCTCTAGTAGATTTAAGGTTCGAATAGGTCGTTTTTGTTCTCGAAAGCCATTTTCGATTTTGAAATCAATTTGGGGGTTTCGAGTAAGGGATCTTAAGCGATGTGTGGGTTTCGAAATATGGTTGTAGATCGTGTTTGTATGTTGTTTTAGGGTTCGTTTCTCTGAGATTTGAAACCAAGATAGGGGTTTCGAGTAATTGTGATGCATGTTTGTTTTTAGGGTTGGTTAGCATGAGATCCTGATGCATGTTTGTTTTTAGGGTTCGTTTCTGTGTTTTAGGGCTCGTCTTTGTGAGATTTTAGTGTTCGTTTCTCTGACATTTGTAACCGAGTTTGAGGGTTCGATTGAATCATTGTAGTCGATTGTTGATTCTAGATGGGTATAATAAAGATAGGAACTCGTTTCTTTATGGTTCGTTTGAATGTGTTTAAAGATAGGAACTTGTCTTTGTTTGGTGGCTCATTCTTCTGTTGTTAATGTACAAACCATTAAAGTTAGAAAGTTGTTTCTTCATGGTTTGTCTGATTGCTCATTCTTCCTGTTTCTTTGACAGATGGATCCGGCAGAAGATAGAAGAAATTCGAAGAGGCAAAACCACCACATCAACATGTTAGGCTTCGTTGCAGATGCAGAATATGGGATCCCTAGAAGGTGTCCGTGTGGTGGGAGACTCATTAATGAGGTTTGTGGGAAGGAGGTGCACGATACTCTTCCTGGGAATCGTTTTATCACCTGCTTGAACTACGAGGTGAGTCTGATCCCTAAACCCTGTTGTCTTACTGTATTTTCTTACATAAAGTGTTTATAGACTGATTATTTTTTGTTGTAACTAAGGCTGATGGTTTGCATTACTGTCAGCCTTGGGTGATAGGAATCCAAGAGGAGCTGGAAAAGCTTACTAAACGGGTGGAGGCGGCAGAGCAGGTGATGATGGGGGTGTTGGGTCTTGAGGTTAGTTATTTATTTTGTAATCTCTGTCAACTTTGTTAATCAATACTTTTGTACTTATATAGAATTGACTAACACAAATGTCTTTGCTTGTTCCATGTTCAGGAAGACGTGAAGATCCTCTCTGCGCAAGTTTATGACCTCTGTGTGCAGGTGGCAACCCTGGAGAAGGTCTCCTTCGATTGACAAGCAAAGGTTATCCTTCAGTAAACTGTTAACTTTAATTAGAAGTAGAAGTGCTTTTAAATTAATTCTTCGTTGGTTGGTTGTTTGCTTGCTGCGATTTGATTGCATTGGTTCTATAGTTAACTAGATAATTTTACTAAAACTAGAACTAGTTAATTTTACTAAAACTAAAACTAGTTAACTAGATAATTTTACTAAAACTAGAACTAGTAAACTATAACTATTGATAATTTTACTAAAACTAGAACTAGAAAACTATAACTAGATAATTTTATTAAAACTAGAACTAGAAAACTTTAATTAGAACTACAAGTGCTTTTAAATTAAATTCTTTGGTGGTTGGTTGTTTGGTTGTTGTGATTTGACTGCTCTAATGAATGTTATTGTTCATTGCATTGGTTCTATAGTTAATGTTTGGTAGGTTAAAACTAGTTTAAAAAGATCAATAGATTACCCTAAAAAAAGACGCAAACATCCAAACAAACAAAAAAACCAAAACACATTATGGATCCTATCTACCTCAACACTCCCGGGTTTGTTAACCTGTTAGCCTCGCAGAGCAGTCATCCAATAGATGTAGACTCTGCTGAGGCACCTGCTAACTCTCCCGGGGGAGGTAAACCACCAGTGAGGAGAGTGTGGTCGGTGAAAGAGGACTTGGTGTTGATCAGTGCTTGGTTGAACACCTCGAAGGATCCCATAGTTAGCAATGAACAGAAACATGGATCGTTTTGGAAGAGAATTGAAGAATACTTCAATTCTAGTCCTCAACTAAGTGGCTCCATTCCAAGAGAGTGGAGTCAATGTAAGCAGAGGTGGGGGAGGGTGAATGCGGAGGTCTGCCGGTTTGTGGGATGCCATGAAGCGGCTCTGAAGAAGCAACCCAGTGGGACAAACCCTGAAAATGATGTCATGCAAACCGCGCATGACATCTACACCAATGACTACAAATGCAAGTTCGCTCTTGAACACTGCTGGAGGGCGCTTAGGTTCGATCAGAAGTGGAGATCACACTGTGAGCCGAAGGAGAAAAGTAAGGACGGTGTTCCAGAGGTGGTGATTGACGAGGAAGACATTGGGCCTCCTGGTGTAAAGGCTAGCAAAGCAGCCAAACGCTAGAAGCCAAACAAAGTGGCTTTTGATCGAATTCAAACCATCCTTGCTCATAAAAAAACCCTATCCAAGGAAAAGATACTTGATCGTCTATTAGCCAAAGCCGTAGACACACTTACTGATGCTGAAGTGGCTCTAAAGGATAAACTAGTCTCTGAAATGCTTTGATTTGGTTAGCTAATTTAAATGCTTTTACTGTAAAGCTTTGATTTGGAGATGTTGTTAACTTTGAATCTGTTTTCTTCTCTTTTGCAGGTCACAGGTCACGGATTGGAAGCTGTTCAAGGATGCCTCTCTTTCTCTAGGTCACAGGTCACGGGTCTGACTGTACTATGTCTCTCTTTATCTTGTTTGTACTATGTAGTATCTAGGTCTGTACTAGTGTAGCATTTTGTTTGCTTGCTACACTTCTATCACGGATGTAAAATAGATGTAGCACTTTGTTGCTTTTGTCACGGATGTTTCACTTTAGCTGAGGAAGAGTACTCTGTTGCACTTTGTTGGTTTTGTATTGATGCTCACGGATGTATAATAAAATGTATCATTATCTATTAAGTTTCTATATAAACAACATACTTCTCTTCTCAACTCTATTTCTCTCTTGTTTCTTGCTTCGAACAAGAACAACAAGAACAAGAACAAGCAACAACATACTTCTCTTCTCTTCTTTATTTCTCTCTTAATCCATATCTAATTTAAAGAACAACAAGAACAAGAACAAGCAACAGCATTAGCTCATTTTCACCAACCAACAACATCCCCAACACTCCTTTCTTTGAGCCTTCTTGCGACTGATTTGACAAAGTAAGAAAAAACATACTTCTTAACCTTAATCATTATATACTAGATTAATCTTATTTATATAACCAGCTTTATGTTTTTAGCTAATTAACTCCTCATTGATCTATTAAATATACGAAATGAATCAAAATAAAAAAAGGGAATCATTGTATGTGTGTATAATACATCATTGCAATATATACTCATATATACTCATTGTGTAGATGAAGCTTTAGAAGAAATGGTCGACAAAGTAGTTGATAATTACATCGATTCAATGCTTCTTGCTGACCCAACCAAGGATACGAGACGAGCTTATATCGAAAGATATCGGGAACACGGACACAATCAACTATGGAACGATTATTTCACGGAAAATCCTACATACCCACCACCATTGTTTAGGCGGCGTTTCCGAATGAACAAACCATTGTTCCTTCGTATTGTCGAACGCCTAAGCAGTGAAGTTCCATACTTTCAGCAAAGAAGAAATGCTACCGGGAGGTACGGTCTATCGGCACTTCAAAAGTGTACAGCATGTATACGTATGCTGGCATATGGTCAATCGGGAGATACATATGACGAATATCTTCGAATGGGTGAGAGTACATCACGTTTATGTTCGGAAATTTTCACTGATGCGATAATACAATTGTTTGGAGATGAGTATCTACGAAGACCTACACCTGAAGATCTTCAACGATTACTCGATGTGGGAGAGGTACGAGGGTTTCCAGGGATGATAGGAAACATTGACTGTATGCATTGGAAGTGGAAAAACTGTCCAACGGCTTGGAAAGGTCAGTACATACGTGGTTCAGGAAAGCCGACAATTGTCTTAGAAGCTGTGGCATCACAAGATCTATGGATATGACACGCATTTTTCGGATTACCAGGTACCCTCAATGATATTAATGTTCTTGATCGGTCACCAATTTTTGATGACATTTTACAAGGCCGAGCACCTAAGGTTAAGTTCAAGGTCAACAACCACACTTACCGTATGCCCTACTATCTGACCGACGGTATTTATCCAAGTTGGTCAACATTTATCCAATCATCCCACTTCCTCAAGGTCCTAAAGTAGAGCTATTTGCTCAACGTCAAGAATCCACCAGAAAAGATGTCGAACATGCTTTTGGAGTATTGCAATCGAGGTTTGCAATTGTTAAAACCCCAGCTCTACTATGGGACAAGGAAAAAATAGGAAAGATAATGGGAACTTGTGTCATATTGCACAATATGATAGTAGAAAACGAAGCCACGGATACGCTCAAATTGATACATCTGAGTTCGAGTCAGGAGAGACAAGTAGAGGTTCCACGGTGGAAAGAAGAACAAGTATTCATGTCGGTAGTATGTTACCCATTCGCAATGAAGTTAGAGATTCGGAGAAACTTCATCGTTTGAAAGCTGATTTAATCGAAAATGTATGGCAAAAATTTGGTAATGAAGATTAATAATGTTTGTATGTTCATGAATTCTCAATGTATTGAATAATGTTTTTTT